AAAAAAAAAAAAAAAAATTTTATTAGCTAAAAATAAATTATATGATTTATTTGTTTATTTATTTTATAAATATAAAAATATTTATTAATTTATATATTTAAAATTAACTTTTAATTTAATTTTATAATACTATAATACAGTATATTATTTTAATTTATTATTTTAAATTAATAATTTTAGTTTATAATTATTAATATTTAATAAATATTTAAATATTATTCAAAATTTTTAAATAAATAAAAAGATTAAATAAATAATTATTTAAATACTTATTTATAACTAAGTAAAACTTTTAAATAAATTATTAGCAATTGATTTGAATAATATATCTATATTAAAGATTTCTTTAAAATAGACCTGAGGTCTAGATTATTATCCTATTCTCAATTTTAATTTTTTAGAATTAGGGTTAGTTAGCACATGATGACTATTTTAAATTTAATTTATTTATTTTTGGATATAGGTTAATAACCTAGACCCTGAGTCTATTTTAAAAACACTCTTATTTTAAATTACTAGCAAATTTAAAGAAATCATTATAAATCAACTCTAATAATATATTTATATTAAAAAACTAAAAAAATTTATTGTATAATATATAAATATAAATTAATTGCAGATTTAAATAGATTAAAAAATTGAGAAAGCTTTTTGTATTATAAAAAAATATAAAGTATAAATTTTAAATTTAAATAGATTATTAGAAATTGATCTAAACAATATACTTGCATTAATAATCTATTGCATACTGTAAAGATTATTTGCAAACAGAAACTATACTTTTATATTGCAATAAATTATTAACCTAGAAATATTTTTCACTTAATAGACGGCTGTGGTTTCATTTGTAAAATTTTAAATAACTTTGGTCTAAATATTTGATCATTGCTTTTAGTCAATCAAAATCAAGAGTCTACTATGACAATTTTGGTGCAGCAGCTAATAAAATTTGCATAGCATAGAGAAAACTCACAAAATCATGAGTTATAGCATTTATATGATTAGTTAATTTATATAGATCCATGCGTGACTATTGACCAATCAAATCAAATTAAAATTTTTTTGATACGTGAAATGAAGCAAAATTATTAATAACAAAGTGAAGCTTTTTTTTAAAGCTAAATAATTCTAACCTATTTCTTAACTATTATACTTTACTAAATATATGTTGTCATATGTTACTACCCTTGGACTATACTATCAAATAGACTATATTACTATATTTACTATATATTAAAAATTTTAGTTTTCTTATCTGTTTATATATATATGTTCTTTGTTCAAGTAAATGCTGAAATAAGCCTTGTTAAAAGCTTTATATTGCTTGGCCTATTTAATAAATGTGTAAAATCTTATATTAGTATAATCTTTATGTTTTAATATTTTATAAATCTAAGATTCAGTTTAATAATTTAAACATAGTAGAAACTCAATAAACTCTGCCAATTACCAAATATTTACCTTTATTCTTATGAAAACTTCATAGAAAAAGCAATTGAAAATGATTAGAGAAGATCTGCTACTAAAGATACCCAAAATGAAGAAATTATACTAATCAATATGGGTACCTTAAGTTTAATTTAGTGTAAATAGATAATAAAATTGCCAGTTTTTAGACTATCAGATTTTAATTGCTATATAAATAGTTTATATAAAAACACGTACTAATTTTTTATCATGAGTAGATCCATAAAAATTAACCAATCAGATAAACTTCTTTCTATGAAATATGTATTCAAATATTTGATAAATACTCAAAATACTTGATAAATACTCAATGAATATTCACTGAATATTTACTGAATATTTAATAAATATTCAATAAATATTCAATGAATATTTAATGAATATTTCAATGAATATTTAATGAATACTTGATGAATATTCAATGAATACTCGATGAATATTCAATGAATACTTGATGAATATTCAATGAATACTCGATGAATATTTAATAAATACTTAATGAATATTCAATGAATACTCATGAATATTTGATGAATATTCAATAAATACTTAATGAACACTCAAATATTTAATAAATATTTAATGAATATTTATTGAATATTTTTTGTAACAAAAATTTTCTTTTGAAGACAGATTTGTATAAAATTTCTTTGCATTTTTTAATAATATTAATCGCTTCTGATTGTATCTTTCTTATTACTACTATAGGTACTAGATACATTAAAATTAAAATTTTATTTTTTATTCTCAAGTTAGAGGTTTTATTATTAATAATATTAGAATGTAACTGGCTTGTTTTATTTTGATCATTTAAGTATAAATTGAATTTATTTAATATATTTAATTTTGCAAATTCTTTACTTGTATATATTTTCAGTTTATAAAGACTTACTACAAAAATTATTTAATAATAGAACAATTTAATTACTTACATTTAAGACATTTGTTTATCATAGATATCATCAAGTTCATTATTATTACGCTTTAAAAACAACATGCATTTGAATAACTTGGGTTTTAGTATCATTCTTTTACTAGTTATCATGTTACTTGTGTCACTAAAAAGTCTTTTACTTGGAGTCGAAGTTGCGGGTCTGCAAGATATTGCCTGGCAAGTTTACTAAGAATAGAAAAAAAGTTTTTTTGAGAACTCTACCAAGTAAATAGGTTTGATTTATAATTGATATTAGGCAAGAAAAGATAATGGCCAAGCTTGTCATTCAATTCATCAAGAGTATCTTGTATAAAAATTGTTTTAAAGAATGATTTTTGATAAATCTGATGTTGTTCTTCTTGGTTAGTTTGATTTTCATTAGAATTTGAAGATCTACTAGACAGTATTGAACGTTAACGAATAGACTTGGCATTATTATATTTAGTGTGAAGAGCGGTCTCGGCTTGTTGTCATTGATTTGGTATTGCAAAATACAATTTTTTGTATCTTGGATCAAGGAGACAAGCAAGAAGCACCTCATTATTCAACAAGTTCTAATAGTATAAAAGCGTATTATATAGGGTATTTTTAATTTTAAGCTTTATATTCGTAGTATCAGTGGGTATATTGATATTGATTTTTCTTTTTTTAGAACCCTCTTCTTCCTCTTCTTGAGCATCAAGAAATCTAATATCATCAAATGCCAAGCCATCTGTTTCATAATCTATATTTAATTCTTCATCAGAATAACTTGTATTGCTAATTAGTTTGTCTATTAATTTTAAAATAGACAAGAATATGTAGAAAATGGAAATATATTCAGTACCACCAAGCTTCTCTGTAACTTCAGAAAAAGGATCTAAGATATTAATAAAGTCTTTCATTAAATTCTATTCATCATCTATTAATTGTATTGCTTTTAATTATTTTGCATCTTTTCAAGCATCAGGTACAATAAAAATATTTAAAGTTATTAAGATGATATTTATAGCATCTTTAATTAGCAGAAGGTGTTCCCAAGCTAGAAAAGATGAATTTCAACAGGTAGACATATCTATTTTTGTACGAAGATATATTAAAGTTTTTTTAATTACCTATTATAAAAAAATTTAGGCTATTCAAAATTAATATTTCAGTTTAATAACCAAATTTTAAAAAAAGGCCTGGCAACTTGACGAATCTAGCATAATTATCAAGATCATTTATGTATAGAGGTAAATTTTCAATTAAAAATTCATATAATGCTAAGTAGCAGTCATATTTTTAAGCACCAATTATGCAAATTATTCGAGTAGTTATACTAGAAGGGTTTGTCAATTCAAATCTTATTTTTAAAAAATTTTTAAAAAATTTAACCTAGCCGGGTTATTAGAACCAATTTGTTCGATATGTATAGTTTTAATTAGTATACGAAGGATTAATAAAAAATTATATTTTGATCAGAAATTCTTAATATTTTCTGTATATCTTCAAGGCATTCATTTTGTTTCGATACTATAAAGAAATTGATTAATCTTTTAGCTTGTGCTACGAATGTCTTAGCTGGTATTAGACTTTTTCCAATGACAAGTTGTAAAGTATAAGCAGAACAAGGAATTCTTACAACATAACTTATGTTGCTGATTGCTGCCTTTATGTTTGCTCCTTGTCTGTCGTGATTAAATATATCTTGTTTGTTAAACCCCAATCTGTAATTATATTTTCTAGCTTTTCTTGAATAATATTAGAAATATGTAGATATCTAACATAAGTTAAAGAAAGCAAAATTTTATGAATTTTGAAATTAGAGTTGATCTATAAACAGATAATGCCAAGATACCCCTGCCTGTTACGAGCTGTCTACAAATCTGTAGTAAGTAAACAAGTCATAACAGTTTTTTGTAATTTTTCTTGCAGTTCTTTTGTGTACTAATTATATATTGTATGAATCATTTGTTTGGTGCTTCTTTCTATAGACAACATGAGTATTGGGTCTAATTTTTTTTACGAATTTACAAAAGAATATATTCGATACAATGCTAATTGGCTGTGCATTGCAAATGATAAATTTAATAAAAGCCATAGTAAATTTATTATTTTTTGATTTGTTATACGGGTAAATGGTTTTACGAATGAATCAATTTTAGTTTGCGTGGGCTATATAAAATAATAAATAGATTAAATAAATACAAAAATTTTTTTAATCGCAAATAATTTACTAAAATTTACTTTGTCGTGATCATCAGGTGGTAATCCAGAACCATCCTGTATAATACTGTAGCTGTTTAAGAGATGAGCTATTAAGTTCAACATCGAACCACTTGAAATTTTTAATCAAGCATTATATTCTTTATCCGAATCTTTTGACACTTTACAAATGCTATATATAACTTCGACACTAACTTTTTGTTTAAGTTTTTGGATAGTTTCAATTACTTTTTTCTCTACAAAGTATTTCTATACCCAGCTTTATTTTTTTGAACCACCTTTTTGACTTAATTTAGTTTTTTTTGGAGTAGGCTTATCATAAATTTCATTATCAGTTGTACTTCTACTTTCTGATACTGGGCTATTTGATCTTGTAATAGGATTTAAAAATGATTTATTGTATAGCTGAGATACAAAGAATGATAATGAAGTATTTTCTTCTTCTATTAATAAAGATCCCTATTTAACTAAGTGAGAGGCTTTACAAAGTGCCAGGATAATGAAACGTTATTTATAAATTTATAATTCGAAGAGCTAAGTATTGGGTTATTAATCGCAATAATTTTTTTTATTGCTTCAAATTCTTTAGTTTTAAATAAATTTCATCTTGGAAACTTTAATTATACAAATTATTTTAATTTATTCAAATAACTCATACAGGTCATAAAATTTATGAGAATTTATATACTTGAGTCAAGTTTGTCACATGTATAGAACCGTGTATATTTCAATCATTTATACACAAACCCGTATAATTACTTATTCATATACAACAACCAATATTTTCTTTTATAGCTTATACTAAATTTATATACCGTATAAGCACAAAATAATATTCGTTGGCATTATTTTGAGAATCATGTTTTCAAAAATAGCATATGTAGTTGCCTATAAGCATCCTGAATTAATATGCATCCTAATAGAATTAGTGATTATATCTAGCCTATAATAACGGCTAGCCAGGTAGATATATTAAGGATTTTTGCATTTTAGTCTAAATATTTAAAGAAAATTATCCAGGTTTACTCTTTATTTCGAAATAACATACATAGACATACCTAAAATAATACGCAAATCAGTCAATTAATATACAAGTGGGCGTTATTTCACACTTATACAGTAAAAAGTCTTTCATACTTTATAATATTAATATTATCAATAACTTTTTTTGTTTTTTTTTAATACAATTCCCCAAAAATCTTATAATAACCATGCTATGAACTAGGTTTCATAACTTCAAATCATGTAGTTACCCAGTATTGCTAAAAAAATTTACTTGAAAAGCTCAGTATTTATTATCTTAAAACAATTAACATATAAATGGTTGTTGTCTTTAGATATTGCTATAGGAACCTATTGAACTTCTGATATTTTTAATTCAACAATCTATTGCTATAGATAAATAAATTAATAATTTCAACAATCTATTGCTATAGATAAACAAAACTAATAATTCCAACAATCTATTGCTATAAATGAATAAAATTAATAATTCTAACAATCTATTATCATGAATAAAATTAATATCATAGCTGATACTGAAATTCAGATTTATTTTGATATAAATTTTTTAAAATTTTTTGGTGTTTTTTTTTTTTATAGTTAAGTTAGTATTTAGAGTTAGAATTGATAATTAATAAGCATATGTAGATTTTAGCAGGGCTTATATTTTTAAATCAAGACTGCAAATTTTAGCTTTAGCTATTTTTAGTATTAGCTGCGACAATTAATAATTCCAAAACCTCAACAGCTAAAAGATCAAATAATAATAATTAGAGTAAGTGATATATTTTAAAAGTGTATATAGGGATTAAAAATAGTTTCAAAAAACCAGGTCCTGAACTGGCTTATTTAAGGACTTGATCGATAGTCCAGTTTTAGTTCAAAATTGCAGTTTTCTAAAAATACCCAAACTGGTACAAGCAGGGATAATGATTTTATGAAAATCGTATAGAACCGTATAATATAATAGATACACAAACTATTTATATAGGCAATTGAAAATCTAATACGTATATGATTATAATCTAAAAACTGGCAATTTCACAATCTATTTATCTATAATAAGTTAAACTTAAGGTACCCATATTAATTAGTATAATTTTTTTATTTTGGGTATCTTTAGCAAAAGATCTTTTCTAATCATTTTTAATCACTTTCTCTACAGAGTTTTCATAAGAATAAAGGTAAACTTTTGGTAATTGGCAGAGCTTATTGAGTTTCTACTACATTGAAATTATTAAGCCAAATCTTAGATTTATAAAATATTAAAACATCAAGATTATACTAATTTCAACAAGACTTATTTTAGTATTTACTCGAACAAGAGCATATATATGTAAACAGATAAGAAAACTAAGATCGTTTAGTAAATATGGTGATGTGGTCTAATTGATAGTATAGTCCAAGAATAGTAACATATAACAGCATATTTTTGGTAAAATATAGTTAAAAGATGGATTAGAATTATTTTAGCTTTAAAAAAAGCTTTATTTTGTTATTAATAAATTTATTTTGCTTCATTTTGAGTATCAAAAAAATTTTAATTTTATTTGATTGATCAATAGTCACATATAGATCTACATAAATTAGCTAATCATATAAATGCTATAACCTGTGATTTCTGTTAAAATGCGAGTTTTCTCTATACTATATAAATTAGAAAACAGATCTTTGCATTCATTATTCACAAATACAAACTCATTAATACAATCTACAATCTATTAATCAAAACTTATAGTTGGCAGATACAAAGCAAACATATTCAAGTACTAAACTTTTTTACTTTTTTTACAATAAATCTATTCTTAGTTTTTTTAAATCTAATGTGATAAGGTGATCTTGAACAAAAATATTTCTATCTTATTTTAATATAATTTGAGATTGTCTAATAAATAGTTAATATATTTTATCTTCTAAGTGAGGTTTGTCAGTAAGAAGATTCTTTTAGATTTTTTTGCAAAGTAGATATTGATGTTATTTTAAAGCTATAAATAGTTTTTGTGCTAATTTTTGTTAGTAAAACATTATGCTATATATCAAAAAGTATTTTAAAATGAATAAATAAATTACCCAAACAATTGATTATATTAACCAATCTGATAAAATTTTCTTATAGTTGAATATTTGAATATTTAGTCAAATCAGATCTTAAATTTTATATTGTATAAACTTTTTATTATTATTTTTTTTAATTTAATTGAACAATAATAATTTTTTTAAGGCTTATAAATCATTATTTTTGTGAAGCAAACTCTATTAATTTAACTAAAACAAATTATTAATCTAACTAAATTGAAAAAATAATTAATATTAAACTTATAAATTTATATTTCTTTAAACTTTTGTGATCTGTTTGTTATTTTTCTTACATATTATCCCTTAAACTGTAAGCTTTTCCAGACAAATTTGTCTAAAAAATTATCATAAATATGGTTATGATCTACTTTTTTTAAATTTTAATATATTTAAATAAAATTTTTTTTGATAATA